GCTGCGCTCGGCGCCGCGGCGCACAGCGAGCGCGCAGGCGGCGGCGGCGCCACCGCCGCCGGCGCCGCGGCCGCGCGCCGGCAGCAGCAGGAGTCTGCCGCGGCGGCCGCGCAGCTCGCCGGCGGCATGCTGGCGCTGCAGCAGGTGATCGGCAGCGCTTTGGGCGCGCAGCACGTGTCCGCGGCGACCGCGGCCGCCGCCGCAGCCGCCGCAGCCGCGGCAGGCGCCTCGGCTATGGGTCAGGCGTAGCGGCGCCGAGGCGGCCGCGCGGGCGCCGCCGGCATTACGGCCGGCGCCCTCGCGGGCTGGTTCGAGGCCGCCCTCTTGACCCCATCCCCTTGCTCTTCCGCCTTGCGCTCGGCCTTGCACAGCGCCTTCATGAACAATGTATAGCTTGGGCCCCTGCCTGACGGGCCCTCCCCCCTGGGGTCCCGATGCCGGGCGCGGGATTGGGCGGCACCCTCGTTGGGGTGACACTCCATGAGTCTCTTTGCAGCTGCTGGCTGCGGCCGGAGCGCACGGGCTCGCGGCTCTCAACGGTGTTTTCAGACCCTTCGGCTGCCCCCGCCGCCGCATGGCGGCCGCGGCGGCGTCGATTTGGGACCGCGGGGGCGGAGCGGGGCGTTTTTGCTCGAGGGGACAGGGCGCGGCCTGGCGGCTGGGTCCGCCCGAGCGCCAAGGCGCCGCCGCCCGCCCGACTGCCCGGCGCTACGAGCCCCCGGCGGCGTGGTTTTCCCGGCGCATTAGAGAGTGTGCGAGCGCTCTGCGCGCTCAAGACGGAGGGCAGAGCAGAGCTGCAGGCTGCACTGCGAGGGGTTATGGTTCAAACTAGTCAAGCAGGCGGCGAGCCTCCCGCGGCCGCGCCGGACCTTGCGAGCCCGCTCGGCCGCCGCCCGCAGGGAGTTTCAGCCCCAACGCGAGCGGCGTGCCGCGCGGCGGGGCGCGGCGCGGCGCGGCGCACATTAGCGCCCCGCACGACCGCGTCCCGGCCGTGTTGCTTCGCATCGATCTGTTCAAACTTGCAGTGGCGCGCACGCGCGCGCGTGGCCCCGCCCTGCTCGGCATTGCGAGCAGGCGCGGGCGCGG